GTAATCTCATCAAAACTTTTGAAAGATTCTTAAGATCATAAAAAAAAAAAGCTGTTTATATTTTTGCCTGTTGAATAAAGAAAGTAAGCGTTTTCAGAAGCTGAATAAGTAGATTTTCAGTGTGGGAAATGTCAGTTATAAAGAAATGTTTGCACCACCAGAAACCACTTCCCACCTGTAAAGACTTCCACAGTAAATGAATCAAATGATTTCACACAGAAACAGAAAAGCCTTAAGAGCTTGCAGAAATTAAGCATATTACAGAAAAACATGCATAATTTGGTAAATAAGATCACATACAAACCCGTGAACACAAGAAACTTGAAGCCACTGCCTTGGAACATCCTGCTCAATGCTCCTCATGATCTTCACTGGTGTGTGCTTTTATTTCCTAGTGCAAAACAAAAGCAAAACAYCACCATGAAAATGAAGCATTTTGAATAAACTCACCTCAGACATTTAATATTGCAACAAATCACTCTGGCCAAGCAATTAAAAGAGAGCGGGTATCCCAAACAGATCTCTAATACATATTTCCTGCAGTAGCCACAAGGGGCCGGTGCAGCTCAGCTACCTGCTCCCCAAGACCTGCAGCCTCTGGAGAACAAACTGCCCTGCTCCTTGTAGCGATGGCTCCACACACAACATTGCACTTACCTACAAAAACATCACTTTGTTTAAAAAAAATAATTAAAAAATACTTAAAATAGTGCTAGCGTACTGCACTGAAGGCTCCCAGGAATTACAAAGCTTTGCCATATTCAGCAAGCAAAAGAGCTTCATGCCCAAGGCTGGGCTGAAATAATAAAATAAAATAAAATAAAATAAAATAAAATAAAATAAAATAAAATAAAATAAAATAAAATAAAATAAAATAAAATAAAATAAAATAAAATAAAATAAAATAAAATAAAATAAAATAAAATAACCCCTCCTAGGCCTATGGGCACGAGGGGTGTGAAGAGATCCCAGGTGAGGTGGGCAGGGCCAAGATCAGTGAGTGCTCTTAAGCAGCTGAATAGGACACAGTTCTTGGTGTTCATGATGCAGCATGAAGTTGCGAATGAGGTGTAGCACTTTGGAGTGGGCTGTAATGTRCTGTGCTGGGAGCTGCACACCTGACTCACTGGGCTTTTGGTTTTTGTTGGGGAGTGGGTAGAACAAGTAAAAGAATCCAGTACCAGGAAAAGCTTTCTGTTTCTTTATTAGTTTTTCTCTTTCTTCTTCTGAAGTTGTCTTTTGTAWACGTAGTTGACTCTGAAGAATATAGACAAAGTTGCTATTCATCTTAGCTAACTTAGTTGTTCAAATGTAAATCCAAGATATAGATGGCAAAGCTAAGGTATACAGAAGGTATTGTGATCTGTGATTTCAATGTCAAGGTATTTTAGTATTTTTTTTCTGAGGCTTTTACCATTTTTTTTTTTCTGTAGCTTGATGTAATAAATGAACATATAAAGTCTGTGGCAACTCCTGCAGTCCTGCTCAAGTGGCTGCTGTGGAAGTGCAGCTTCCAGGTGCTCTGGAAGAGGGCCATTTGGCTCCTTGTTCATATGCCTTCAATAACACTAGGCTATTTTATGCTCACATACTGTTCCCCTTTCTCTAATATCTTTTACATAAAACTGCAAGCCTGAAATTGCTATCATTCCTGCACCTGTTAAAACCTGTGCCTTCTGCATAGACCTGAAGGAGGATACTGTGCAGCTCCAGATACGAAAGGACTCTTATTTCTCTCACTTTTTTTAATCACCTTAACTTTCTCTTCCTTGAACACTGCTTTTGGTGGGCAACAGCCCCCAGTTTCCCAAGGGGGTGGTTGCTTTCGGTGAGTATGACACCTGCTGCCAAAATCTCTGCAGAAGTCTGGATAAYGCAGTCCCAGCGACCAAACCCTCATCCCTGCTGTGCAACACGTTCAGATTCTTGGCTTGTTGAGACACGTATGCTGGCTAGAAACAAGGTATCACCTGCAGGGCTGAGAATGACAGTTTCAGATGGATCAAATTCCAGACTTGCAGGCACACCCTCTGAACAACTGCACAAGGAAGAGTGTTCACAGAATTTACGGGTCTTTTAAACAGCTATTGGCTTGTTTGTGCTGCTGTGCACAGCAGCATGCCAAGTTCATAGTCTAAATCAGGCAATGATTTTATAAACACCTTTGCTTCAGGGGCTTTTCTTTTTTACCTGGATTTCTTTTTTCCAAAACACTTTTAGACCATAAATCTGTTCAGATAGGTGCAATGACGAGATCAAATTTTAGCCTCATAAATTCCCATGAAACCTAGCAGAAGTTGCGTGCGTGAGACCAAGCCCTGAGAGAGAATTTAGCCCTTTAGAGCTTGGAGAGATGGTCGTTTCATCCAACGCCGTTGAAATGCCACCGCCTCTGCCGTGGAGCTGACATGTAGCTGCCCCGCGCAGTACACAGCCCTCATTGTGCTCCAGGACTCAGAAGGGTTGTGCGTTTGGTTGTCCGAATGAGAAGGAAGAGTAGAATATGATCAGAAATGTGGTCTGGAAGAGCCAACGGGATGAGAACACTATGAAACTGTAAGTATATTAATGTATTTACTTTTGCAGAGGATGCTTGAGAGCAGAACTCCTCCCAAAGGGGGTGGTTTGGTAGCTGGGTATAAAAAGAGCATCCTGAACAAACAGGAGAGTTTCAGAACAAGCTGTTGCAGCCTGTGGGGTGACCTGCAGCAAGAAGTTTCCTTGAACCTGAGCAATGTCCCAGTGTTATGATAGGTGAYAGAGGCTGGCGATTCACAGGACGAACTGAGGAGTAAAGAAGCTCTTCCAATAGCCAGAAACAAGTTAAAACCTCACTGAGTTGAGCCCCATCTGTTTTGCTCCACACTATCTCCTTTGTGCTGCCCTGTGCAATTTTCAAGGGCAGCTAAAATATACAGACACTTAAAGATCAACTCTTTTAATGTCTGTTAAGGTATTTTATATTATATGGAAAGGATAAAATCAGTTCCCAACCAGGACAAGTTTTGCAGTGTGCTGATACTGGTTTAAGTGTTCAGTATTCGTTATGGAAGCATTTCCAAGTCTCAGCTTTTGCTTTTTCCATGCTGGCTTCGGGACAGCTTGCCACAGCACTTAGCTTGTGCAAAGCAGCACACAGTGAAGAGCTGTGCAGCACAGAGAGCCGCTGGGAGACAGGCTGAAGCCCGTGGGCAGCGTGCAGCACCCATGGGCTTGGGGGCGGCCAGGCTGCCGTGGCYGCGCGCTCCCGCCCTCCCCGCGGCTCTCGGCAGCCTTGTTTCRTGACTGCGCTGCCCCAGCTGTGCAACGCTGCTCTTCATGCTATCCCTCTGCAGCCTGAAACACCGTGTTCAGCTGAGCGTTTCATCAGCTGCCTGTGTTGGATTGCTGCTTTGCCAGGGTTTGGGCATTGTCTAAATAGGAAACACTCTGGTGGGTGGCAGCTCTTGAACAAACTGGGAAAATAGGTGTTGGAATAAATGAGGAGGAATATGTGCCTTGATGCTCTTCGTATTGTTTACCTGGGTACCTGATATGTGATGACACTACAGTAGCCGAGCTCTTTCCTGGTGTGCATAGACACATAGCTTCCTATGACGGTCAGAAATGTTACTTCAGTTCCACAAGTGRGGAATGAAGGCAGTCCGCATCCCCCTTCTCCTTACAGTTTTCTTGAAGTTTATGAATTCTAGGAATGCCTGAGAGCATAGACTCCTTCTGTTAGTCACATCCACTGGGTGCCTCTAAGCAGAGGACTGTACAAAGAGTTATGCTTGCCTTGGGCAAGTACCAACAAAACATCGTCTAGAAAGCTCGGGCACTTTTTATTAATGACTCAAGTGTTTAACCAGATGATGACAAGGGGTATTTGCATAAATGCTCTTCAACTCATGTCCCACCTAGCACTGAACGAATTAAATATGGAGGTGTTTGTTTTAAAATTATGACTCAGTGTCGATGGTTAATAAACAGGAATATGTTTCTGAATATTTATCTCAGCACTTACCTTTTAGTTATATAATATGTAACGGTGACAATCCTGATATTAAATTGTGCAGTTCACTCAAAATGTGTGTTTTTACAACTATGACTTGCTGTTTATTTACAAAAAATAGGCTGCTAAGATTTGCCAGACACTTTTATATACAGAGAGCATCTCAGGACCTGGAACTGTGTGAGGGAGTAGATGAAATTCTATGGAAAAAGAGGATATCTTTCAAGATCTGGCAAGTAGGGTAGTGAGCACTTACCCCATGCRAACATCCTTCCCTGGATCTCCCTGAGGTTAGTAATAGGCAGGCATGTTCACCTGGCTCAGGACAGTGCTGCACACAGCCCRTGAGAGAGATGTTTATCATTCATTAGGCAGTGCTGTGTATTTTGTCTCCTTCCTAAATTTTGAGAAAAATCTCATTTGCATCGTGTTTTATAAATTTARCTAGTACTAATTATTAATAAACATTCTTTTTAAGGTTTGTGCCTTTATATTGTTACTCCTAAATGGATATTGAGCACACAGACAGTTGTTTCTTCTCAGAGTACGTAGAAGATATGTCAGTGATTTAAAATATGTTGGAATCATGGTTATTGATAACGTTTGCTTTATAATAAGGACAAGTGGGACACAGTAGRAGCCCCTCTCAAATACTCCCAAACTTTGTCAAAGCAAATGGTTCAGTTTGTACATAGACCTAAAGGCAAGTATAGAAGTAACAGAATAAATAACTAGTTATTTTGTAATGACAGTTCGAACCGCGGTAAGGTAGATGCCCCTTTACAAGAATGATAGGGATAGTTTCAAGTAGAAATTCAGATCTGAACCTCAGACTTCCTCAATTTTAGGGGCTATAGATCTGGCAGGACCCTCTGATTAGGGAGGAGACTAGACAGGTAGACAGGAGAAATGGAGGAGAAAATAGCAGGTAGCCAACCTAGTAATAAGATATAACTCCCTTGAGAGAAATAATTAAATAAAAGCTCCCTTGAATATTGGAAATAGGAATCAGCTGCCACAGCCACGTGACCCTCAAGTGAGCATTACAGAGGAGTGACCATATGGGTAAGAGCATCCTGAAGCAGGGATRGATGGAGGTTTGTTGCTTTGTGATTTGGTGGGAAATGTGCTGGCTCTCAAGCCCATGTCCAAGAAGGAAGATGCCTTAAAGGATTCCTGTCTTCAAGGCAGGAAACATGCAAATACAAAAGGACACGCAACTGAGAGATTTGGGGAAGGAAGTAAATAGACTTGATTTGGGAAAAGCATATTTTGCACCAAAGGTGGCAACTGAGAGAGGTCTGAATTTGAAGATCTTCTGCAAGTACAGAAAGGGCAGCCTAGAAGCGCTCTGCAAGTTGGCAGTGTGTGGTGCGGTTGGGACCCAGCTCCTGCTTTGGTGCCCCTGGTTAGAGGGGAAGCTCAATGGCCATAGCCCTCTTCTACAGGCCAGTGCTATCTGGTCCTGCTCTGTCTTTCAGAGCTTCAGGCCATGAAAATACTGCTGTGGCTTTAGAAACCTCTGTAGTTCTATGTGGATGATTTGATGAGGTATAATCAGTGCAAACCCACGATGCCTGGCTACTAGGGGGTTCAGTCTGCTAGGCAGGATTTACCCTTCCAGTGGTGACTCACAGGGGCCTGATACTTCCCAAGGACTTTCTACTCAGGGAAAGATCAAGGCAGGGGAAGTGCCATCTCCATAAGAGGAGTGGAAAGTGTAGTCCTCAGCACCTAAATGACCACAGAATTCAGCTCTGTGCCTTTTCCACTTGTTCTGTGAATCCTTTGGGAGGTCACAAGTTCCTCATGTGGTGTGTGAGGGGTAACTGTAGCATGTCAAGGATGGGAGAGAGTTACAGTGGATGCAGCCGCTTTACATGTTAAGCAAAGCTAATGAGCTGTTTCTTTGTGCTTTTTCTGGGCCATGCTTATCAGCTGTGTCTAAAAAAACCGATTGCAGTGCACAGGTGTTTATGTTGGTACTTTAGCGGGATAACTGAAAACTATGTTGCTAAAGAATAATTGGTGTTTTGCAGTTTGTCCAATGCTTTGAATCCCTTGCTTGGTCGCTCATAGCCATCTTCCTAGTCACTGTTGCAGTACAAAGGAACGAAGTTGTGGAGTGATTGCTTGGCATCTTATGTGAGCTTCACATCTTGTCAGCTGAGGCTTTGGGTTGATCTTTGTCTTGTTGTATCTGTCTCACWGCAAGGAGAAATTTTCCTGTTTGAAGTTGATGGTTGTCAGGAGTTGTCCAGGCACAGCTATTGGCAAACACTGCTTGGGTTTTTTTTTCTTGGTAAAGACCGGAGAGACCTGCTGTGAGCCTCTGTGTACAGGGTTATGCAGCTAAAACATCATTCCTACCAAGTCTAGCAGGCCTGGATGATCATTGCCATGGCCAGCCTGTTTTGCTTTGCTTTGCTTGGTTTGTTTCTCCACTATAAAAAGCGAAGTGGAATCTATGAGGGATTTCCCTAATTTTTAGTAGTTCTTGTGGTTTTAATGATAAGCTTGCTAATGGCTTGAGGACAAGTCGTGAAACAGCTCCAACTGCTGATTATTTATTGACTTAGTTACTTGAATATTTATCTTGCAAGAAGGAGCTCGGAGCATACCTTGGCCTTTAAAGACTGGGGCATTGCAACATTCCCTGCAAGTTCCATGGGAATCATGGTTGACCTTTCTTTTAAGGATTGAAATAATACAGCCAAGTTGTGACTTTTGCATTTCCAGGGCCTATAAGTTGCCCTGGAAAGAAGATGAACGATGCTGCCCTTAAAAAAGAAAATATACAATGCTTGCTTTGCACGGGGCYAGTTCTGTTGCTATGAAAGGAAGAGGAGTGCTCGCTCCTTTTAAGTCACGACAGACCCTAGCATTTCTCTGCTTTGTGCTCCTAAAGCCGCCTTTCTGTTATGTACTAAGTATTCCTGCCTGCACTGAGTAATCTCTGTCAAGTAWCATAAGTTAATGTTGTTAGACTTTAACTGAAATGAGATCAGAGCTAGACCRTAGGTAGGAGTTGTTCAAGCATGGAAATGAAAACTGGAAACAAACCCAAGCCACATTCACCAAGCCAATGTAGAAATCAGCCAGCTTGATTTAACTAGAAATTAGAATTATATTCCTTTATTACTTTTCTTTTTTTTTACTGCTTTATTAAATTATTCTCTTAGTGGAATATTGTTGCATGAATCCTGATTAAGTAATTGAAGCAGAAGGATTTCAAATCTCTTCCATAGACTTAGGTATATTGCTAAACTTAAATGAGATAGTACAGTGTTGGTATGTGGGACTAAACTTACCTAACAAACCTATTACATGCTAGTCCTAGTGTGAGGTAATGACCTGGTCTTTGTTTGGAAGACTTGTCAAAAATCTCCTAGCTCTTACTGTAATTGTCTGCCAGGGAGGGTACTTGTCTGAAATAGGCGGCTGCAACCTCAGCTGCGTTCCCAGGTTCCAGGTAGGCCTTGTCCTGTATTCTCTTCTGGCTGTCTAACCCAGGAGTGTCAGGCAAAATGCTTATGTGTCTGAAGTTATGACAGTAATGACCAGACCTCTGGATTGAAACAGCTCTGGAAGTTATTTGATTGATGTTATCTGTACAGAAGAGATGGATCTTGGAGAGAAGCTCCAAGCTCGCAAGAACATGAAGCTTCTATGTTACTGTGAATTGAGCCAAAAACTCCTTTATTAATTGCTGTATCTTGAAAGCTTTCCCCCCGTTGAGCATGCTAATGCAGCCCGTCGTGGAAGATTGTTCTGGTGCAGAGCTAGAAACTACAGTATGAATTGCAGTTCCAGATATGCAATATACTTTATGTGTTCACATACATCTGTACATTGCATATATGGCTGTGAGCCAGGCTTTGGAGAGGAATACTGCAGCATGGTGTGAGCTGGGAGTGAATAGGAGCAGGGATGACCGGAGCCTAGTTCCTGTAAACTGCTGCAAAGCAGAAGTTACTTGTTACCAAGCCCAGYGCAGTGGGACCAGTATATAAAGGCCAACTGCAGCTCAGTGTTTTTCATGCTCTTCTCTCTGTGGTTCAGCATGGTTCTGTTCCAGCCATGATCCCATGGATTAATTCTCAGTAAAACTGACCTAGCATTCAATAGCATCACTGTGTGGTTCCTGCCCTTCAGCTTAAATAGCTGCTTATACAATTAGCTGCTGGGGATTTAAGCTGGTAGTGGTGCAGTCTATCTTCCAGACACAGCTCTTGCCTATTGAATAATATACATAAGGCTGTTATGCAGCTGAGCAATAAATTGAATAATGAATGTGATTAGGTGCTCAAGCTATGTTGTCGTGACTCTTGCTACGATGTTATGGTTTCATGTAGTCCTACTTATGCCTCACCTGATTGTGTATATTGGTTATCAGGTTAAACACTGAAGATATCTGTCCATTTTGAGAAGCAGAGAACACTCTGTCCTGTAGATTAGAAAACCAATATGAAAAGAGTTCCAACTGTACCAGTGCTTTCAGCACGGGAGGTGTTTGGGTGCACCCTGTCAGCAAATAATTACTGGGAGTCRGCGAGCGGCCTCTCATTATAACACTAGTGATTAAAGTGTTAACTGGAGCCTCCCTGTAGGTAGGTGTAACTGTGACTAAGAGAGGGCTCCTGTCCGTGGAGGCAGGAAGGTGGTAGGACAGGCTTCCCGACATGCAGCGAGCGGCTCGCGGGGAGTGGCCTGGCTCCCTGCACTCCCAGGTGAGTGAGCAGAGTGGCCAGGGAGCGAGGGCAGCGAGGCTGTCATGCCTCTCGCAGGGCTCCGGGAAAGGCGTGTGAAGCGTTGCCTCAGCCCCTCCGGCTCCGTCCCCGCGCAGGTGAGTGAAACGCAGAGCTGGAGCTGTTCTGCCAGACAAATTCCTTTYGGGTAATTGGTGTGCTGCAGGGAAGGAAAAGTGCTCTTTCAGGGAGAAATCTTCCTGAAGGAAGACCCCAAGTCCGCAGGTGGCTTGTGTGAGTCAGGCTGGTGATGGCTTTAGCTTGATACTGATCGGTGCTGCTGCTCTGAGCAAGCATGGGCATAAGCCTTGGCTGTCCTTTAGCCAGGTGCCAGTGTGGCCGTAAAGGTTACATGGTGACCTTGTCCGTTGTTAGCAGCGACAAGCTCTCCTTACTGTGCTACCTGGTGTASTTATTTCTCTTCATAATAGTGCTTAATGTATAGTGTTTGAAATGGGCTTTCTGGAGTAAGACTGGTATCAAACTCTTCTCTATACCCCCAGTTTTTGCAAGGTCAACAACCTTTGAGATCTCTTCCTTCATGCCCCTGCAAGCTAAGGGGTCGTATTCACTGTGAGATACCAACTGCTCTCTGGTGTCAGTAATCGGGTCCTGTTCTGACCTCAGAGTGGTACTGTGCTTGTTGTGCTCAAGTAGAGCTGCTACTGCTGTGTACAGCCAGCAAACATGAAGAGTTTTTCAAAATCACTAAAGGTATAGACTGTCAGTTGGGAAACACTCAAGGGTTAGAAATAAGTACTTTCCTTTTCAATATTATCTTTGCTTGGCTGGAGAGGATATCTAATGCCAAAAAAAAAATTCAAGTGACTAATTAAACCCTTCTTTTGCTGAAATTGAATTTCTTATGCAGAATACAAAMTTAATCCTTAACTCCTTTTTACAGAATATGTAATGGATTAACAAATCATAGCAGAACAAATACTTGCTGGTCTTAGGGAGAAAGTTGAATGCTGATGGGATGTGGTGACTACTGTCGAGAACTCTTGGTGCTGTCAAAAGTGTGAGCCATCTACTTTGTTGACTGCTAAGTTAATAGGCAGTTGAGGCATATCGTTGTATAAACTGAGAACACTTGCACCATCCTAACTTCTTGTATTTCTAGAAGAGCTTATAACCGCACTGAGGAATGATACACGGAGATCATTGGGGCTTTTCAGGGTCTTGGTTTTTCTTAGCACTGGCAGGAGCTCTGCAGCACTGAGCCTTAAAATACAGACTTGCCAAGAAGCAATCTAGCTACTGTGTGTGAACTGAGACTCTGCCTTGCTGCTCCTGTTTAGCTTTCTTTTGCTATATCCTTATAGCAGCCTCCCTCTACACTCATCTCTTTTTATTGTTCTGTAGATCTGCCTGGACCTTCACTCCTCCTTTGTCCCCCAGCCTCCTACATTTTCCTAGACTCTTCCTGCTGTTATTATCTGGTCTAGAAACTTTTTTTTTTTTTTTTGCTTTGTGTTTGTCTAAGTCTGTGTCTGTTCCTGTCTTGTGCTTCCACATATATCTTAGGTTGCAGTCAGCCTTCCTCCAAGTCTTGACTTTCTTTAGGATTAATTTCCCAGCCATGCAATTAGCCTAAACAAGGTGCCACTTGGAAGTCAGCTGAGTGTAAAGATCACTTCTCTCACTCTGTGGAGATCAGCTCTTTCCTTCATATGAACCGTGTTAAGGTCAAATTATATCTAAAAATATGCAGCTATGGGCAGTGAGGCATTTAGAGGGGTTGTGAGAGTAGCTGTTCTAGGTTTCAGAACAGTGACCAGGCTTTAAAACAGGCTGTTTCCTGACAACTGGAAGAGTTTAGCCTAGGTCTGGATCCAGCTATTCTGATGCCCAGGTACCTGTGTCTCTGAATCTTTCCAAACTGCTCTGGCACAGGCAATTTATTTGGCTGAAAATGGTAGTAAATGGCATAAAAGAAGATTCCTGAGTATGACTGATGGTTGTTGAACTGATGTGAGATGCTAAGAAACAGTACTGTATTGGAATGAGGCCATCTCTCCCCTACGTGCTACATCCTGTACACAAGTCACTGACAGTATTGAAGTTTCTGGGCAATTTCATAGAGCCTGAGTAAGAGACCAATGAAGTGGCACAATTCATGTCAAATGCAATCCTTTGACATTTTACTGCTTTCCATGGGATAAGGTTTTTTTCCCCTATCCATTTGATGCCACCTCTTGAGTGGAGATGAAGGTGGGGCAGTGAAGCACCATGTGTCAGTCTTGATTCTCTTTGGGTGCTGTGGTCAGTCTGCCTTTTCTCCTAACGCCCTGGGGCAGGGATGGAAGCAGCCAGGACTCCATAATTTTGCTTACTGGAGAATGCATCTCATTGGTGTGGCTTTTTGCCTGCACAATTCAGCTGAAATAACCAGACAGAGGTCTGTAAATTATATTGCTACACCGTTTTAATTACAGCCTTGTTTTGTCTTTAATATCTCTGCTTCTTTCTCTGGGCGCAGGACTTGGCCAGTGGTCAGCAATGCTCCTGGCCCTGTCCTACAGAGCTGGTTAAGGGCCATTGACTGAGCCACTATTTTGGGGGTGACCCTGGGCACCTCTCTGGCTAGAGGTAACCAGTGAATCTGTAGGTGGATTTCAGCCTTAGTGCTAGTGGAATGCGTAAACTCTTGGGGAAGTTGTTTTTTTAAAACTACTCAGGATTTAAGGTACTGTGATATGGCCGATGCGAATGGTTTATGGTTTTTGTAGTAGAAGAGAGAAAATTTGGGGCATTGAGAAGGTTAAATACAGAATAGCCYAAGTAAAGGACAGTCAGAAGTGCCTAGTTTGTAAGAAGGAACCAGATTCACTTGCAAACTATGCTATCATTCCTTTAGTCTGCTGTTCAGTCTTTTTTGGTGACTTAAAGGAACATAATTTTGTTTTGTTTAGTTTCATCTCTTCTGAATAAATGAAGAAGGCGGTTATGAAAGCCCAGCACTTACCTTCTGTTTCCATCAATGAGGAGAAGTGTATAACCAGGTAAGCTCCTACATGGGGACACTTAGTTACTTTGCCCAATTCCAGGTATTCCATTTGCTCAATTGTCTAGCGAGCCCAAGTACTGTGTCCCTAGGCATAACAGCCCATAATAGCCAGGGACACATGCCCAGTGCTCAGCTGAGAAATACACATGGACTCCCCCAGATTAGAGCTGCTGCTGAGGGTGTTGGGGGCTCAGTTGTGTTGACCCCTCGAGGGGGTGCTGGATGTTAAAGCTCTCATTGCTAAAGAAGCTGGTGGAGGTGCAGTAAATGCTGACTTCAGAGATGTTGCCAGCAAGTTCTTTGAGTCATTTAGCCTTGACKTTCTGTTATGCTATTGGGCAATTGTCCCAGAGGGGCGTGATGAGGAACAGCGCTTCAATGCAGCTGGGACATGGATTTTGTGACCATGTAAATCTGAGGAGGTGAACGTGGGCCTCCTTTCAAGGGCAAGCTATGGATCTTTTGAGTGTGAACACGTTATGCTGAGGCTGATTTTGGAACTAGTGAGCTGCTATGTGTATTACTCCTTCCTGGGGCAAAGAAAAAGCTCGAGACAATGATTTACTTTGCTAAGGTCTCTCTAGTGCACAAGGACAAGCAAGTCAGTGAGCGGCTGTGCAACTTCTCCCTCAGGGCTTTAATGGCCTGCATGGCTTGTCACCGTCTGTTGCACTAATGCAAGACTGAAACCTGAAGGGTTTGTTTATGCAAACTTCATTGAACATTGATGGGAAGTCTTGCCAGGCATGGCAAGAAACTTAAAAAAAAAATAAATAAAAATTCAAGGCCTGCCATGTTGAAAGGAGGTTAAATGGTAACGGTCTCAGAGATAACCTTTGCCACACGGCTTAGGTGCTTTTGGCCTGTGATTCATCTTTTGTTTTCTTATTTTTTAATTGATGTGGCAACCAAAATGGGTGAAGAGTAATAGATGGGTCCCGTTATCAGACCCAGTCCTTATGTACTTCTTAATCTATCTTCAAGCAACAGACCTCCTAGCTTTCCACCTGGAAGATACTGCCAACAGCTGTTGGGGACATAACTGCAGAAGATACTAGGTTACTGAGTATAAGATGGCTTAAATTTTATGCATCTCACATGCAGGGTGGCAAGACCTATCACTGGATATGTCCACCTTAGAATATGGACCTCATACTTGCACGGAAGTCTGCAGCTGGGTGTGGGTCATGCCCATGTGCTCTGCCTTTGGTAGGCTAATCTCAACGTGGTCCCTGGTAGTACATGGCAAGGAGCAGTGGGAAGACATTGCAGCACAGTGGGAACCGAGGTTTGCTCCAGCCGGAATTACAGAGGTTACAATGCAGGTGGCTTGAAGTCCAAGTTGAAAAGGCTGCTTTGGAGCCCAACCTTCTGTTGACAAAGTCACTTGGAAATAGGTTGCAGGATGTATAATGAGCTGTTAAAGTCAATAGATTAAATCCAGAGTGCTTTGAAGGGAATGCTGTTAATCTTATGGAGGTCAGTGGGTAAAAGATCTTGCCCTAATCCTGCCAGCTGAATAAAAGCCTTTTATCTCTTCCCCTCTGTCCCTCCCTGTCACCAAGGGGGTGGAAAAGAAGCACTGAGCAACCTAGCAGTGCTACGTGGAGGTTGAGGTGGCGCTGACCAGCTCAAGCGCTGCGAGCTCCGCTCCTGGGTGCAGCCGTTGCAGCTTGGGTGCTCTCCTGCGCATGGTGCCAGACGTCTGCGTAAGCCTCCTTTACCCTCCCTCCAYGCCTAGGAAAGGAGCAGGTGCTTCAGGTCTTTGTCCTGTGTAGAGAAACTGCTGTGATGTGGTTCTGCTTTGTGTTTTCCACATGTTTGACTATGTGGAAAAGGGTAAGAATGAATGAGAAGTATGAGTAGAAGGCCCCCACTTGCAAAGATCTCCAAGAACGTAGACAACACAAAGGGAATGGTTAGGGTGACTGCACATGTCTTAAATGACAGAAGAGAGTATATAAAGTAGTAATAAGACAGTATGATGGAAACAGRGGAGATAATAAAACATGGACTTAAAACAAGATACTTAAAACATGTATAACAGATAATCTGCCCAAGTGTTTCAATTTTCACTATCATACTTTTTACCTAATACATCAATTACCTTTTGCATCAATTTCATGTTATTTGTCTTAAGTGAGACCCTCTGAATGTGGCTACTTGTGTTTTCACCATAGTACAGTTAGCAGTCAGCAGAGCAGCAGTTGAAGCAGCACAGGCTGATCAGAGGTGCAGTTTAGTTACACTTGTCATGCATGAAGATACCCTGTCTGCCTGCAGTGCACTGCCTGACAGGCTGACAGTCTGTTATCCCATGTGTCATTTATTGCTTCTTTCCTCAACTACAAGGCCCATATGGGCCACAGCAGTGGTGTGAGCTGGYTGCTGCACCAAGCTGTCCTGGGCTGCAGGTGCCAAGGGAGCACAGCCGGGAGCAGGGCATGGGCAGCCTCTTAGAATAGCACCGGGGCTGCCCAGGCGCTGTGGCTTTACCCAACCTGAAAGTCACAGGAGTGCAGAGCAGACCCACTGGCTGCCTAGAAATCCTGTGTTTAAAATGAAGTAAAATGATTCTTTTTCCCAGACAAAATTTCCAAAGGGATGAGCAGGCCGTGACCTGCAAACTCGGATGTACAGTAGCTCCAGTTGGGTTATTTTACAGAGTCGTAAGGTTTTGCAAGGCCATATTCTCCTTAGACTGGTTGGCAGACTTGTGAATTTATCAAGCAAGAAAGGAGGTGGATATGGTTGTCTTGGCTCTTGGAAGTTAAGCTTTATCRGGATCCCTAGCCCTTATATCTCCTTCCTGTCTCTGCAGTGTTTTCACAGCAGAACATTATGCTCCTTTTTCACTTCGTTTTATTGCAGAGGTGCTTTCTTTTTGAAATATGAGACAATGGGCATGTTTATAACTCTGGCCAAAAGTCTTTTGGCAGGTGTTCTCTTCATCTCCATCCCTTTTTCTCTGAGCAAAGACRAAGTGTAAAGCTGTTCTGTTGCAAGCACAGAGAAGCTACAATACTTTGTCTCAGCATAACATGATATTTTCATAAAAAGAATACTTAAGGAAAAATAATGTAATGAAAACAACTGGGAGAGGTGGATCTTATAACCTAAAAGAAGTCACAACATTTGTGTATGGGAGTGTTTGTTTCTGCACTCATGACTGTTAACAGAAGTCCAAAGTACAATTTGCTCTATGGCAGTGTTATTAAGGTCACATTAGAAGGAGATGAACTCATGCTCTTCATTGGCTCCTTAAAGATGCGGCTAAAAAGCAACTAAAAAGCAACCCAGAATTCCAGACAAACCTTGACTTCTGGRGGTTGTTGTCTTGATCACTAGCAAACCCATCAACAGTTGTAAGGTGTTACACAGGCCTTCAGTGCTGGGATTTCACACAGACAGAGAGCGATGATTCTTTCATTGTCATCTTTTCTTCCAGAGAGCAGCTCGCTTCTCTGCTGAAGACATATAACTCGTATTATTCTGATCAAGAAAACCTGCAGCTGTCATATAATCAGGTAAGGAATCCACACACAAAAAATGTTTGATATAAAATCATGGTATTGTAGGAAAAGCTGCAATGAGTGCTCATGTTGAATGCAGCTGGGCTACAAACTGCTGCACATCAGTGTATTAGATGTCATTTTAAGCAAAACAGACCTGACAATACACCGAAACATGCATACAGCCAAGGTTCATGAAAAGACAGCAGAAAAAGGTATCCAATGAGAGGTCTGCAGTGTGTAAGAGTGATCTCCCTGCTACCCTGCTTGCTTGTGTATCACAGAAAAGCTATMTGTCTTTGGGTCTGCTCTCAGGTACTGACTTTGGAAGGACACATCTTGGTGTCTCATGCAACTCCCAGGGTGCCATAATATTATAGCTGTAGCTGGCAACTCTAGCTGTAGCCGAAAGGGAGAGAGCTACAGATTGCTCTTGAACTGATGGCGTTATTATCGAGCACTAACCATTCCTTTTTATTTTATTTTATTTTTTTTAGCCAGAAGGCAGCAAGCCATTTATTGAAGGAATCTTGTCAATATTTTGGGGAATCCGGCATCCTATCCGATTAAAAATTCAGGATGAGAAACAGATACCTTCTTTTGTGACCCTGAAATCAACAGAGAACATTAGTTTGTTTGCCAGTAAAAGGTAATGTTTTCGTTTCTGTAAAAAGAGGGCAGGCTGATAGTGAAGGCAGCTCCCAGGAGYAGCTGCCCTGGACACGGTGTTTGTGTCTCAGGTTTTCTAAAGGCTGCAGCAGTCGCTCMCACAGTAGGAGTAAGTGCCAAGTGTAGCAGGGGCTGCTTTGGCCTTTACATGGCTTGTGCTGTGCATAAAGATGTGTGTGATAGGTCTACATCTCAGCTTAAAAACAGTGTGGTAGAGGAGCAGCCTCTCTTCTGTATTGATTCTTTCTGTGCAAGTCCTGAGATCTTGAGCAGGATTCATCTTGTTGGCTTTAAGAATGGCCAGTTTGCCCCTCGAGAGAGGTAGCAAGAGCAGCACGTTTGGCCCTTCTCCCAGGAAATCCTAGGAGGAGCAAAGCTCCCACTCGTGCACCATGACCCAGGCTCACACGCGCTCAGCAGGCAGTGGGGCACAGTGGGACCTGCCTGTGCGAACCCTAAGGGGCCCTGTGCTGGGAGGCACTGGCGTAAGGCAGGGAATACAGCGCTAGGAGGTCTCTGCCTCTGGTGGGGCTTCTGCTTSGCAAAATTTTTAGGGGAGAATGAATACTAGCTTGGTCCACATTACATCCATGGTAGAAAGCACTGTAAAAGCACACGGATCAGCTGCGCTTTCAGGGCACTACCTATGAGATTGTCTACGTGCATTGCACACATCTGCATCCTGATGGGTTTGCCAGACATGTACAAGTAACTCAAGGTGCCTAGGTTGTTTCCTTTCCTATTTCTGATGTTGTTTTTCAGGTGCTGCTGGTGAACTTGGGGTTGTATTGACCRGGTGAATATTACAGATTCATCTGTAATACAGAAACTAAGCCCATGTTTACCCTGAATGATTTCCTCCTAAACYGTACATTTAAGAGCTTTTTATCTTCCTTACCTATTGTCTTGGATTGTATGTGGCATATGAGTGATTTAGGGATTGAATTCCATAGCCACCGCAGCTGCGCAGCTCCAGCAACGTTAGGGGCAATCTTCCTATCTCTTGCTATGGAAATAACCAAAGGGCAGGAATCAGCCAAGCATTTGCACAAGAGGCTGGTCTTGGTCACTTTGTGTACGCTGAACRGGGCTGCTGGTGCTGGGTACGTGGCCTGCAGGCCACGGGCCGTTCTGGCAGGTAAAGTTTTGCTCTGCCTTTTATTTTGTGAAAAATACACTGCTGGCAACAGATTTGAATCTTAAAGTAAACATTAATTCATGATCACAGAATTAGGAAACTGCCCAGACATGCTTTAAGGTATGCAGAGCAGCTTAACTCTTTGATCTTAAACGAACGTTTCAAACGCATGGCGAAAGCTGAGATAGACATTGGGTGTTTTTGCTGAAGTTGGCTGAATGCTATTTTAAGTATATACAGACCTAAAATATATTTTTCTGTAAACTGATTTATCTACTGTTCTTGGATCAAATAGTAACTGGGCAGAGAATTTTTTGCTGATGAATTTATTCAGTAAATGACAGAAATAACATGTTAAAATTGGATCTAAAAACTGAGGCATTTATTTCAGACCAGAGCAGGCTGGATTGAATCCCTGTTCTACGGATTTGGTTGGGATAGCACCAAGGGCAGAGCAGCAATTTAATAGCTCATGTACAGCAGAAATGTCTCCTGTGAATATTTAGACTACAAAATTAAGGGAGAGAGTGCGGGATCTATATTTTTTTTCTCTTTATGATATCTTTCTGCCTCACCTGTGATCATTTTTGAACTTGGCTATAGAATAGAGGAAGAATTGCTTTAAATAATTTAAGAGGATTCCTGCTTAAACCTTCAATAGGCGCTACATAGGAGCATGGGCTGCCTTTACTATCTCTAGTCATATCATATTTTGTTTGCTATAGTTTTATAGTTTTAGTTTTACAGTTTTAGTTCATGAGCTAGAATTTGTGGCTTTATATACCACATGGAAGTCTGTAATCATGTTGTGTAAAGCTTTGAAGGGGGATTGGAATGTGTTGYATGAATCCTGGCTATGGAATAAATGGAATTCACTGTGCTAATCAAGAATCATCAACCCTGGTATTTCAGGGGGATGACGCGCTGGGGAGAATTTGATAATCTACATCATATTAGTGGGGAGACACTGAAATCTGCAGAAGAGAAGTTAAACGTGGAGAAAAGTAAGTCCTGTTCTTGCATTCACCAAAAGCCCCTTTGCCTTGTTATTGTGCAGAAATCATTTGATGCAGTGAGCCTTCCCTGGGGCAAAGGGGGACCTTTGTACTCCTGGGCTGAGTATCTGTACCAGGCTAGTGAAATACGGCAGCAGAAAGGCTGGCGTGTAGCAGGGCAGCAGTGCCAGCGCTGCATGGGTAGCTTTCTGGGTGGCCCACGCTTACGGGTGCTTGCAGCTGAAGATGCTGAAACCACAGTCTGTTCAAAAATGAACTGTTGCCTGTGGCAGCTGCAGCTCTTGGATGCCCATAGGCAGGTCCTGCTTGTACCTGCCTCCCCCACCCTGGTCCCTCAACTGAGACCCCTTGTCCTGAGGTAGCATTGGCAAGGAGGGCCCAGCAGCCGTGCAACATGCTGACGCAGTTTCATTTTTGTCCAGGTTATTCATGTTATGAAAGCAGCACTCTGCAGTCCAAGAGCGAGCAGGAACATGACTCTGCTACCCTGCCCAGAGCCCTGAGTGACGCCACAGTGGTGAGAAAGAGGACCAAGTTCCCCATGATCGCACGAACAGAAGTGGAAACTCACAGGTTTTCTATTAATGGACACTTCTACAACTATGAGGTGTGGAAATTCACCTGTTTGTGCTTGTGTTCCGTCACCTGGAGTTGGGTCCTGGGGCAGATGGAAATCTCCAGAGAGTTTTAGGACCTCTCCTGGAGGCCATGTAGCCAAGGGAAGGTGTCCCCTCTGCACAGCCTGACTGGGTCTTTGTCCCTGAGCCATGGGCTCTGCCCCCAGGGTTTGGCTGTGTGGGGTCCCGTCAGAAAGGCAGCTGCTGGTGCAAGGCACAGGGCAGCTGTGTGACAGTGGTGGCTGTGGCTGTGCTGATTCCTCCGTGAAAGGTCAGTTCCCTTTTCCTGAGCAAACCTGCTAGCCCTTCTCTTTATGGCAGCACCAGCTCCACCGCTGACTGCTTCCTTTATCCCAGATGACTGCTGTGTTTTAACTCCTTTGCACAAGGCTGTTGAGTACAGGAGTCCTCATATTCTCATGTTCACACCATGATCTTATTTCTAGACATCAGTTTTCACTCCAGCTTTTGGATCAGAAACCAAAATTCGAATAAACAGCCGTATGAGAACACGGGAAGTGGTAGAGCAGCTGCTTCGAAAGTTTAAGGTGAGTTTAAGTGCAGTGGCGAGGGCAGCTGCTCTCCAGACAAGTTAGCTTTAGCTGTAACCCAGTGTGCTGTGAGAAAGAATGTGAAAGACTGGAAGGGTCTTGCACAGGACACCATTAGTCCCTGCTAGAGCTACTGGACTCTAGGAAACATATATGAAATATATAGATTACAGAGAATAAATACCAATTCATAGGAGAGAAGAAAGCTGCTCCAAATCGAGCCTTTCTCAGCACAGAGAGGGCGTTTGGCTAATGCACATGCTCATGCCTCCCTCTAGTGACAGGCACTGGGCATCATGCTCCTCTGAAAACCAAAGGAATTCTACTTTCATGTAGTCCACGTGCTTGGGCTAAATTAGACTAGGTCTGGGCACTATGAAGGTCTACAAAACTGGAGTTAAAAATAATGCTTGAGCAATGCTCTAGTGCCTGGAATTACTTTTCTTGTTATGTACTCTCGTCAGTTAATATGGTATATTTCTGTCCAAATATAGCTAGTTTGGTTTATTTGAAATATTTTGTTCTGCTTAAGCTACATAGAGAATTATCAAAATGTAAAATAATAAGTAATTTATAGATGTTGCTATTGCACAATGACCTGATGCAGACAGTAAGAGTATATGGTGAAATAATAAAAGGAGAACTTCTATGAATAGTAACCTAATGGAAGGCATTACTGAGACTGTTGTAGAGACTCAGCTACAARTAAGTGTTCAGAATGACTGCTGTTTTCCAGATGTGCTCATGCAGGCTAGTGCATGGGAAGAGTTCCCACATTTTTGTCTTAATGCCAATATTCTGACTGTCATCTAGGAGAGTTCTTAGAACTTTTTAAGGAAACAAGACTCTAAGGATGTGGTTTTCTAAGATGATTTGTTGCACTTTTGGGAAATAATATGGTAAGTTTTGTAATCATGGCATTTAGTATAGGGACAATGAAAATGGCAGCCTGGTTTGATAACTTATTTAAACATAGTGTACGGTCAATCTTCTGTAGAGGAGTCTCAACCTCAGATGTTGTTTTGGGCTTCTGAATATGTTGACTTTCTGCTGACAGCAAAATGGTAGGGAAGCATCTCTGTCACTCTGAATTGACTTTGTTTTTTGTGTTTAACAGATAGAGAACAGTCCCCATGAATTTGCCCTTTATATTATCCATGCATCAGGAGGTAAGGCAGACAGTGCTGTAGGATGCTGTACATGTGCGGGGACAGCTCACCTAGGGGTGAGGGGATGAGCTGCTAGCATGTGTCCCTACCCTGACGCCCTGGGTGCAGGGTGAGACTGCTGCCTTTGCGGAGACACGTAGAGATGGAAGCTGCTCTGCTGGAGAGGGAAACTAGAATAATTGTTTCCTGGGCGCTTTCTCCTCCGGAGTCCTGCAGGCACGGTTGGCTCACTCAAATGGGCCTTAGTTTTTCCTGCAAGTCAAGGCTTGGAAATGCTGTTTAACTTCTGTTCTGTACAGCCTCACGGAGTTGATGGCAGGCACCAGGCAGTGGTTTGTACTGTTTTCCTGAAGGCAGTGGTATAAGGTTCTTAAAGTGCTAAGAGATGCCTAGAGTGGCTTTGAAATGCTAGCTGGATAACCACATTTCCTAAACATAGGCCACTTAGACTTTACTCCTTTTTTTTTTTTTCTTTTGTTTTGCATCCCAGAAAAGAAACAGCTGAGGAGTGGAGACATCCCCTTACTGCACAGGCTCTTACAGGGGCCTTCAGAGAAGATTGCCCAGTTTTTTCTCATGGACAGGGATGCAGAGGAGGTCAGCAGTGATGTACGTACACCACCAGGATCATCATTCTCATGGTTTTACCCTGTTAGCCTGCTCATTGATGTGCATTTCTCGTCTTCACAACAGGTTGCTCAATATATTCAGTTTCATCTTCCCTTTTTGGAATCAATTCTGCATAGATTGAATGAAGAAGAAGAACAGGAGATTCAGCAGACAATTGCAAAGTAAATAGGAGTAAAATTAGTGGGGTCACTGTCAGTCTAGGAGAATGACAGTTATGGGTTGGCTCAAGAGGTGAATGCATTTCTGTAGCAGGGATAAATTGTGCTGTACTATGAATTCTTACCCTAAACTTTGTGGGTTTAAAATCATCCTTATAGCCTGCATCCCCAGATCAGCTGTCCTTCCTAAAGATTTCAGAATAAATGCTGGGTTGTCTATGACATTTGATAATGGCTTGCAGGAATAATCCAATGGTGAGGGAGCCTGACGCTCAATGCTGTTCAACTTCGTCTTCGGAGCGTTAGACTATTTTCTGAGCATGTGTTTGCTGTGATCTATTTCCCTGGAGGGTATAAATGCACTGGAGATTGTGGTGATACTTAAGTAGCATAGCCTTTTATCTAGACAAGTAAGAAATCTTTAATACCACTTTAAAATTTGTATTCTGATTAATGGCTTGGGTTCCTCTGATAGCAGCTTGACATACACAACAGGTACAACGGCCCTTTAGAAACACACCACTAGTCCTAAACCTATGGAAGAGCTGAGGTCAAAAGCAATGCCAGTCCATGACAGCTGAGGAGCTGTTATGAAACAACCATCTGATAATCAGTTGGCAGTTACCAATTCTCTATCAGAAAAGCTTTCATTAAAGCATTTTTCACTCATTCAATTAGCATGTTAAAAAATGGTAGAAATTTAGAGAGGTTCTGTGTTACTAAATGCATCCTCTCTCTCTCTGTCTCAGATACCTTAAAGAGAAGAGTATAATATGTCAGCACCTTCGTAGTCGAGCTGTCAAGAAAACGGAGACTACTGTTTGACATGCCTGGCCTATTGTGGATACTACCCATGACCTGTGCCAAAAACCAGTCGGTATATTGTCTTGATCTTGAAAATATGATGAATGTGCCATAACTGAAAAACACTTACAGCATATAGGTGTTTAAATTCCTAAAGTTTCTTTGGTTTAGGCGAGTGAGACTGAACCTACTCCATTACAGTTCTGGAATACAAGTTGTAACCACCTTCAAAGATGTGTGAAACCCTTTAAATGACAAATGCTGAGTCCAACTCAAAGTTCAGCAAGGAAACATTCATGTGACAAGTGCAAGTCTTGGAAACCTACTCATTGCCAAACCATTAGCAGAAGTGTTGCATAAAAGAGAAATGTTGCAATGACCAATGTCTTAAACATGCCAAAAAAAAAAAAAAAAGGAAAAGAAAGTACATTTATTTTCTTAGAGAAATATTGAATGTATTTAGAAAAAAAGCTTTTTAGTAGATTGAAGTGACAAAGGATATTTAGGTACCTAAGACTGCAGTCAAGCTTTTCATTTAACTTGAAAAACATGCACACAAGCAAGGTGCCTGAAGTCCTGCTGCTTATAGATTGGTTCTTACCTCTCATTTAAGCCTACATCTACCACTTGAATAACAGAAATGGAAAATCTTCTGCTTTGTAGCTACTAAGCTCTTAACGTAACAGTGAATTTCTCTCAAATGCCTCTCAAACTGCAAGGTAGGAGTTCTCGTGCAATATTGCTGCATCTGCCTGATTGGTTTCGGGATGGTGACACCTCAGCAAAGTTCTTTGGTTGAAACGTAAGTGACAACTTGCTGCTCTGTGTGTTGTGTATTTGAGGAGTGAAGGGACAAGCGTTGGGTATGAAAGGCCAAAGGATGTAAACTTACAGCAATGAAGGGGCACACAGGGCCAGGCTGGCTTTCTTCCCCAAAGAGGCACTTTTTGGGGCCCCAGCACACACAGTGCACAGAATTTTTTGTTCCTCTCTGTTCAAATCCTGCCAAGCAGGAAAGCTCAAGTTGCGGAGATGTAAATAAATTGAAAGCCATACACAAACTGCCACCCTGTACTGGTTTGTTTTTCTTATGTGGTACCTGTGTTCTTCCTCTGCTGTCACTTCCTTATGCAGAAGACACAGGATAAACACTGTGTGAGGGAGGGAATCACAGTGTGCAGCAAGTCTGGCTTAGAAATTATATGGAATAAATGAGATAAGGTGTGGGGGAGACACTCCCTTTGAGATAGCGTTATTTGGATGGTAAGTAAAGAATGAAAATGAAATACTCAATTGAAAGGATCATGCTCAGGGTAGGTGGTTTATTTTAATGTGTACCTGTTGTAAGATGGTTTATTTTAATGTGTACCTGTTGTAATCTTACCCATGAAGGTGATTTACAGCAGTGGAGGGCAGAGGGGGGAACGTTAAATAATCCAGCTGTCAGAATGCATGGTATTAACTAACAGTGGCCTGAGAGGTGCAAATGTCAATTCCTTAAAATAACAAAAGCATGTAAGTGTCATGGAAATTTCACAAGGGAACCGCTCAAATATTTATTTGCCAAGTTTCAGGAGACAAGGAACTCTACTTAACATTAGACTTGCAGGGAAAAGTCAAATTTTAAAAAGCCTGAAGTATTCTTCAGTTGACTTCAGAGCATTGCTCTTACCCAAAGCCAGGCTTTTTTGCTTGCATAGAATTTCTGTGTAAGAATTTTAAGTTTATGCAGATTAAAAACCCTTTTTAAAGGATTTTAAGTTTATGCAGACTAGCCTGTTTCTTTGATACAGGTTCCATTTAGTAAATATTTAGTTGTATCAATGTATACTATGTAAATATTGAGGGAGGAAACTTTTTAAATTCACTTGGCTAAATTAAAAGCACTCAATGCAAACTGAACCATGTGAACAAGAGGGAAAATGTTTCTGACCAGCTTCTCCATTTCTTTATGTGCACAGTTTATAAATGGAGCTATTTTTGCCATCATCTGGATTGAAGTATTTCAGTCTCATTAAGTTGACTTGTCTGGCTGAATTGGGACCAAGCCCAAGATAGCGGGGAGAAACTGTGGGCTTGAGTACAGATTATCTATAGTGTGTCTTGGGTTTTAAGAGCTAGAGAAATAAAGCTGTCACATTGCTGTGGTGATAGATCTTCATGGATACTGCAGTCATTTAAGTGAATTATGTGATGACTTCAGAGCATTGCTCTGATGATTGCTCTGATGATTGCTCTGATTGCTATGATGAACATAGACAAGGACAAGGGAAGAATTTATTCCAAAGCATTACTGGATATATGGGAAGTAACACAGGAATGAGATAAGAAAGTGAGTCAATAATATGGAGGCTTTGTTTCAGTCTAGGGTTTTACACCATAACAATTTAAGGGAAGAAAACAAACACAGCACAGAATTTCTATTAATTTTCTACCACCAAGCTGCATAGTGAGWAGCATCCTAAGTTGTCACTGAAATTTTAAAGAGAAAAAAAAACAARCCACAAATTCCACAGGACTGCTTTTCACGAGGATATGAAGTCCTAAGCACTGCTGTTATTTCAACTGCAAATGGTCTTTAATGATTTTCTCTATTCAAAACATGATTGATACTTAAGTAATACCTGTCCAATATGTGTATGTGTGCGTGCGTGTGTGTGTGTGTGTGTGTGTGTTTCAGAGCTGTCTAGTGCTGGAAGCTCCTCGTTTTTCCCAGGCTGCTTAATCCATGTGCTTTGTTCCCCTCCCCTGTGCACAGGGTCAGGTCTCTCTTCATTCTGAGACTTCTGGGAATATGAAGATTTGTGTGTTCATGTGGCATCTCTTGCTTAACCTGAATAACCCTATTCTATTCYGTTTTTCCCTTTTTGCTTTGTTTTCTGAATCCTTCACTGTTGCTGCTTGTTTCAGGTGAAGTTTTTTCTGCAAATGAGGTAGCCAAGATTTGTCTTAATACTCCAGCAAGTCCTTACTAGGGATGGGGAAAATGGAGTGATGAAACTGTGTGCTACAGGCCATGCTCTAGTGTATGCCCCAGTATGCAAGCAAGATGCCAGTCTTACGGCAACTGCAATGGTGCAACATGAAAATCTACTAAACTTCTGCATCTACTAAAATTCTGCAGCTGTTTAATCATACCAGTGTTAGGTGTTAAGTTAGAGCTAATATAATGCATGGAGGTATTTGCCCATGAGACTTTTCTGCAGCTTTGGCTTGTCCTGAGTATATTTGCAAATAGGCAAACTCCAAATGTTTCTTTTTTCCTGAGGCACCTCCTTTACTTTGGTCATAGTAGAACTTGGTGGCATAGCTATAGGTGGTGCAAATTCTTACGACTCTAAAGTTGTATTTACACCAAGTAAAGAACAAAAACATAGTATTCTCCACGATAGCAATTCACAGTTTGCTATATATACTTCAAGAATATTCAGAAAAGGTATTCTCACTGTTGAAATTGTGATTTCATATCATTCAGCAAATACCTTTCAGTATCTCACACAAGTGTTTCACGCTGACAGCATTTTTTCACTTCTTTTTATAAGYTCTGGACCCTGAAAGAAAAAAAATGTCTGTGAGCAATAGAATCAGCAGTGTAAGGTGCATGTGAACAAGTTATGAGTATGGCAGCAGTAAGTCAATATTATCATGTTGTGTGCAAACGTAGTATATACAGTGTGCGGTCATATATGTCACTTGAATGTACAGCTTTAACTGTTTGGCTCATAATGTCTTAGAGTCCATAAATGTTATGAAAAGAGTGAAACTGATTTTTGTTCTGAAGGGTTAAAACAGTTCTCTGCAGCTCTGCTCTTGGAGCTGGTTCAGAGGCAGAAGAGAATAGAAGAGTTCAACTTCACTGAAGGAATACATCAAACAAAGCTGAGAAGTAGGGGGAAGGAAATTTATGGGAGAATAGAGAGAGATCCACACAGCTCTGCAGTATCAAGAGAAATAAGCTAAAATAATACAGTGAAAAATAGAGGGGAAGAGCCAGTGGGGGAAGGGAAAAAACAAGGAATGTGTTGACCTAGAATTTGGGAAATCCTTTCCTTCCCTATCCCAGAGGACCTTTTGAAGGGAGAAAATTGTTGAAGTACAATTAGGGAAAGATTTGGGCCTGTATCCATCACAAGAGCAAATCCCAGTGATTTTCCAGAAGCTGCAGATGTAGCTAAGCACTATATGTATAAATTGCTGCATATAAGCATGACATTTGTTAGGTATCTTCCCTGGTAATCTCTTGAGAGTGAACTGGAACATACATCTCCCTACRGAGGCCATGAGACTGGTCTTTGGCAGCACAGCTGAGGGAACACCAGGTAGGCACGTTTGGCATTTGCCCACTAAGGGAGAAACCCGTGCCCGTGTGTGGGTGTGTGTGTGAGTGGGCACGCGGGGGCAAAGGCACAAGGAGCTACCTCGGCAAGGAAGCAGGCGGCGCGGCCCTCCGCTCCGCAGCACCGCTCCCGCATGGCGGCGAACGCCGCGCTCACCGAGGCCACCTGCTCGCCCGTGATGGAGGGCTTGTATTTGATGAGGTTGATGAGCATTCTGCAACAAAGCAAAGCAAAGCAGGCATGGTGAGGCGGTGGGGAGATGCAGGGACACACAAAGCACCTCCTGAATCCCGTCCTTCAAAAGCAGCCTCTTGTTCCYTCCTTTCTCCAGTCTTACCTTTCTTAAACATCACCCCCAGACAGGCTGACAGTGCAGAGCTCTTATGTGCTCCAGTGAATTAAAAGGCGACATGAATTTTTGCAATTCCTCCACTGTGAATGGTTTTACGTTTGCCTTAGGTATGCCCCTCGGGAGCATTCACCATAGCCCAAGTTAATAGTCGGGGAGCCAATTGCTCGCAATGGAGGAGGGAGGGCAGGTTTCCAGAGAGCAAGTTTTCTCTGACAAAGGCAGGCCAAGCACCCAGAGCTGTTCAGGAACAGAGGTGATCACTGAGATCAGATAAATACATGGGCTCTCCCATTCTGGCAAAGGAGCATTGTTCAAGCCATAATAGTAATGCAGTATATGAAGTAGTAGCTTCCGTATTTTTCTGGAAGTTGTTTGGTGRTGTCCTGTGCGGTTTCAGCAAGGCCTGCTGTGGGGGATAAGGATATTTCTAATGTTGGTGTTTTAAGCTCTGTTATTACAGTATTGCCCTCAGCCTCCCGTAGGTGGCTTGACATGAAGGCATCAGAAAGGGTTAAAATACCACAAATCAGGGGCACCATGCAACTGTCAGAGTCTCAGCGCTCTGCTACTGCACTGTTTGCCTCTGAGCATGAACTCTGTTGCC